TTATAAAAGCAGTTTCCGGTTGATTTGTATGAAGAACAATTTTCCGCCGGTCTTTGAAAAGCAGGGAAGTGTTTTAAAACAGTTCGCGGAAGTCGCTCAGAAAAGGATTTCACGATACATCTGGTTCTCTGTTATGTGTTATGCCAATTTTTCAACAAAATTGGATGGCAGTAGAATTTGATGAGATCTATTTGATGGATGTATGTGATGGACGCCGATCCCGGGTCGGCAGCGATATCATTGGGCAGCGAAATGCTTTATGCTTTAGCATTTTGCGTACAATCTCTCTCTTTCAGTTGCTATATTTAACGGGGCGATTATCGCAAGGTGTTGCCGACAACTGGCCCGCTCTGGCCTACAGCATCCTGGAGAGCTCGCTCGAGCAGGCAAGTCCTGCTGCGCTTTTCGATCCACCCACACATAAGTGTGCGCGCAGCACCCCTTCTGCTGCTGCTGCTGCTGCTGCTACAACTACTACCGCCCGAAACTTGTGCGCCATCCTCTCGAACTTCTCTCCAGACACCAGGAAGCAAAAGCGCAAGCGAGCAACATACGCTCACGCTTCTTTTTACTACACCAGATCTTGGTTGTCGTAGGAATCTGATCCACAACATGGATCGATTTTTGCAGTCACCACTAGCAAACGTCACACAAATCGCTGATAAAACATTCCAAATTTCAAAGCTGCATTCTCAAAACGAAAACACTAAATCAGCACGCAGAAGGATACCAAAACACGAATTCCAGCAAACTGCATCAATCCACAGGCACTAATTGCCCGAACTAAGGCCTTTCTTCTCAATTTGCAGCACCGCTTGCAGCGCAATATACAACAATATATGCTAAAATTTCCAAGAGTGAAGAGCAACTGAAGTGTGCTGTCTCTCAGACAGTACAATTACACTTATCTGAGCTGTCTTAAGTTCTCCAATTTATTCGTTAAAAATTTGCTGTTTTTCGACTGGCAAGACCCTCTCCCTCCCCCCACCCGTTCGAGTGCATCTGAAGCACATCTTAGCGGCTTTTGGCTAAAGTTGGAGTGGGTTCTGTTTTGCACTGCACGAATTCAATAACACCCAACCCCCCTGACACGAAACTCAGAATTCCTCTCTGAAGGTAGTCAATTCACTGCATTTTTTTCTCAAGGCCTTTGAGAACGAATGCAGGATGAGGCGGGCAACCCCTCCCCTGGATCCTCGCCGATTTTTTACCGACACGCACATACTTTAACAAGAAAATCCCGAAATTCTACTATTTCCCCAAAAACAGAATTTTAATAAGTTCCAAGTTACTCAGCTCGCCAGGAGTCACCAAAAGCATAGCCTTGTGCACACCTGCGTTAATTAGAAGCACGAAAACAAATGCTTAGGTACAAATTCGAGTTGAAAATATTCCCGCGAGTACCCGGGCGCCTCCTGTGTTTTCCAGCACTCTAAAAAATCAGCTAGTGCACAGCTAGCGCAGACGATTCTGCCTGACGTAGCTGCATGCGACATGTAACCGCATTTCAGGAGCGCTAAAAGTGCTCAGCATTGATGGCCAGAGTTTACAGACTTGGGAACAGCATGTGTAACTGGATATAGTTTGCATGATATAGTGGTGCGTCAATACTTCCCACAGAAACAAGCTCTTCCTTGTTTTTCTTTTGTCCTCAGTTTAAGTGAAGAAAAATGCTGGTTAGCGCACAGAAAAGCAGAATATCAAAGTTCCCCTTCTGCGCCTACAAGAAACCGAGCATTTTAAGCTTCCTTTATAAGTGGAGCAAACGTTCCTGCTGTTTTCTGTTCCCACTTCTCAGGCTCTTTTCTGGTCACAATTTCGGTGTATCCCTCATCAATACGGTGCATCATTCTCCATTATCACAATGTAGCACATGCGCACTAAAGTAGCTGCCTAACTGCAGATCTCCTCCCTCCATCCATGTCCCATTCTTCTTCGTCCGAGAAAATTCAGCAAGTAGCGCAAAGATTAATAAAAAACAGTGATGGCCCGAAAGCTAAAGATTTTGGCAGTGCTTCGGAGTGCCTTTGAAGAAGCAAAAAAATTTATCAACAAACTTTTTGGAAAGAGCAGATGTTTGAGGCCTTACCTGCTGCGCCACCGGTTCCAGGATACCCTCAATGGTCCTGGTGTGAAATACAGGCATGACTGCAGAGGCGATCCACTACGCCGGCAGCGGCTAAAAGATGATGAGCAGCGGAGGATAACAGCTAGCTGGTTGCAGTATGCCGGGGTGCCTGGTCAGGCGTGGTGAGGCGAGGTAATGCTGGCTGCAGCCGGCGGTCAACGCCGCATGGTCCGCTCGATGCTTGCTGCGACGATTAGCTC